TTTATTTTGGGGGGGGTGGAGGGGGGGGTCAGTGAGTAAACATGAAATTATATCCAGAGAGAAGTAAATAAACCGTTTTCTTAATTCGGGTCAGGTACTGCAAAAAAAATTAAGACTGGGCAAAATGTCCTTTAATCAAAAAGCACCTGAGGCAAAATTTCTAATAAAAAACACTATGTGTTTTGTGTCTTTTAAGTTTGCGAGAATATTGGGGACCCTCTCGTGTAATCACGAAGGTCTGTAGATTTTGTTTTAAAACATAACACTATACCCATTTGTTTAACTTTTAATTCTTTTAACTTTGCCAGGGCCTGCCATCCTCAAGCTCACGAATGCAACCCTCGGATAAATTCAGAAGATGGAGGGCATTCAAGCCCAAAACAAAACCAATTGGGAAGCCTCCGGGGGTCCTGTCCCAGGCACAGACAACTAATATTTCTAGCGATTTAATCTTTTTAATTTAAAAAAAATGAGTCAATACAGAGACCACTGTTTCTCAGCCTTCCACCAAAGTTGTGTTTCTCCAAATTGCCAGCACGGGGAGGGGGCTTTTAGGGGATCATCGCAAGAAAGGGCTGGTCAAGGTGGAAAGACAGCCCGCAGATCCCCCCAGGCGAAGGCAGGATGAAGGAAGTGGTAGCCACCATCTTGGGCAGCTGCTGGAATTTTCGGGCATTTATTTTATTTTATTTTATTTTTTGAAAGAGTTAATCTCTTTAATGCTTAGCGATACCCACCTCGGACTTTTGCAATGACCCCCCCCCCGTGCCCGGGGTGAATTCTTCGCCCGAGTGTTGTGCCTTGCCCTGCGTCCCTGCATGTTAAATAGTTCCTGAAATTTACACGTGTTAATGAAAATGAAAGAAGATGCAGACGCTGAGATTCTTTGGCCCTCTCTCCGCCCGTGGGTGCCCTCGTGGCGTTCTCGATAATGCGCCCATTCTCCCGGCTCGGATATAGGGTGTCGCTGCGCCCTAGTTCCCCATCTAAGCGGTCTCCCCGTCTGTGTGTGGTCTGCCGCCCTCCTCGTCTAGTCCTCCCCAGAGCCACCTCCACTCCATCCCCAAGTCCCGGGGGACCCACTGGGGAAAGCCGGAGCCCCCTGAACCCCTCTTCTCCTCCGGGGAGAAAGGCAGCCGCGGGGCGATTTGCATTTCTATAAAAACCGAACTTCGGGGACAGCTCCACAGCGGGACTAGCGCGGCGCCTCGGGGATG